TGATGGAAACAGAAAGGACAAAAATTACATGAGACTGGAAGAGCTTCTTACAAAGCAACTTCTAGCACTCGATGCTGTTGATCCACAAGGTGATGAGCGGGTTAAGGCTGCCAGAAAGCAAGCAGTGAAGCTTGCACAGAACATTCTTTACTATCTGGATATGAAAACAGATGAATGGGAGTACTGAAACAGCCATAGTCTAACAGAAAATACCTTTTTTTTTTCCTTTGGTGCTTTCTGCAGACTGATAGTTCAATTGGCAGCACGTGATTAAAAGTGATGTGTTGTATGTTTGCTTAAATCATGGCAATTGCATAAGAAGTTGACTTGGCTATATGTCTGCTATCCCACGCGCTCACCCACTTGCCATGGCAACTGTCAGTACACCATCAGCAATTCTGGTCATTGCTGTCAAGCAAAGAAATGTGATCCTCTGAAGGAATGGCTTAATACCTGGTCGAATGGGCTTTTTTCCCTGTTTTTGTTGTGATAATCTTGTGCAATGTTTAGAGAGTGCAGCTTTTTCAAAGGTGCAGAAACTGCCTTATGGTATAGGACTGGCAAAACTACTTCAAGAAGACTGGGCATAAAAATTAGCGCTTAAGCATGAGGATCTATCCAGCAAGTTCATAGCAGTCTGGATATACTCTTAATGTGCTGTTATGATGGAAAGTATTAAATGCAAAAAACTGCTGGCTTTTGAGTCATACTTGATTTATTCCATCCAGCATACCTTTATGGGTGTTTAGATTTCTTACCTAGCAGAACTATAATGCCAACTGCAAATTAGCATTTACATAGGCAAAACCAATTAGGTCTGTTTTTGTAATATCTGACCCGTTCTGTTTGCAAATGCAGGGTTTTTTCCTTCTGTTGGTGGAAACTTCCCTCAAATTCTTGCTTTGAGGTAAATGAGACTTGGAGAGGAAAATCTGTGCACATACACTGATTAGATAAATGGGATTTGTAGGGTTTCATACTGCTCTCCATAAACCCCTGAAAAATGCACTGAACTTTCTTTAGTGGCTACTTAGGGTCTTTTTAAACTCTGCTGTTAGATTTGCTTTTGACTAGTCTTTTTCACATTTGGTAAAAATAGAAGTCACGCTGAAATGAATGAGCATTTCAGAATTATTTTTGTAAAATTAGGTAGCTATAGAGGTGTCCCTAATGATTTAAATGTGTATTATGTATTTCATATCGGTCAGGTGTGGCTTCAAGCATGACTTGGAAAAGACCTGTGGCATATATCTCTCTTTGCAACTCATTGCTTAATGGTTTTAGTAACTTAGTAAATAAGCTTGCTTATACTGCTCTAGGAGCCTCCCTTATTATTTGTAGCTGCTAGCATCAGTGACATTTCTACAGTAGCATGTGTTTTGGCATTTTTGAGAGCATGGCATTAAAATTAAATGGATCAATATTTAATTATGGATATTTTGCACTTAGTTCTTTCATGTTGAATTTGTAAATTATTGTTCTGTAGATGATTATTTGCACCACTGTAAGGAGTATAAACAATTTTGGATGTTAAATTAAAACTATTTTTAGATATATTTTTAACTCCTTAGAGAAGACGATACTCCTGTGAGAGACAAGTGCCTTTATGACACCTTTGACTTGTACCATCGTATGTAGACATAGGAACTGCTGACTGGCAGCTTGATGGAGCTGTAATCTTTACCCACTAGATTTATCCTATATCTCATTCCACTATAATATATGTTAAGTTAACATAATACAATAGGTGACAGTTGTTCTCTGGAGACTCGATAGTGAGTCACCAATTTGGGAAATACAGATTCTGTTTGAAAATGGATGTGTTGATATGGAGATTAGGGAGTGTGGGCAGGTCTTTCTGTGCCTATTACTACAAGAAGGGGAGAATGATATTTACTCCATAACATGCTTTCAGATGTTGATGCAAGGCTGTGTAACTTCAGAGCATGGAAATATTTTGTTTGTGACTGTACAGGTGATTTCTTGGCAATTCAGTTGACAAAAACAATCTTTTTTTTTTTTTTTCCAATTAAGTACAGTACCTAAGGCACAATTTGGCAATGTCAGAAGATTTGTTGGAGGATTCTTTAGAGACATGACCCTGTTGAATTTGTCTGTCTTTACTTAAAAAATCATTTCTTCTAGGTAAAATTCTTATCTATATTTACATATTGTGTGGTTAACACAGATGATTAATGATGTTACACACCTAAATTATTTTACTCATTTCAAGCTTTCCTACATGTTTGAACTGCAACTTCTAATGTATACCTAAATTTTTAGGAAATTTAAGAATTTAATAATGTGATAATATTATTCACTTTAATCTTACTGTCAGGTCTGCAGTGATTTAAAGTGGTAGATTGTTTAACAATTATTTTAGTATCTGTGTTCTTTGGAGGTTATGTGAAACTTTAGAAATTTTTGAAACTCTTATGTAAAGATGAGTAAGTATAGTTTTAAGATCTATTCTATTTTAAATTTGTGTATTTTTTTAGCTTTTCTGAACCCATAGTTAAGCCTGCATTTCTAAAGAGGCAGATGTGTAAGGTTAGTGTAATTTCGATTAACTTAATAGAGTTCAGTAGCAGTATCTTGTTGCAGATTAAGCTTTTTTCCATCTTTCTGCAGTCTAATCAATTCAGCATTTAAAATTTGTGGTAAAATCCTCATCTGGAATGGGATTAATTTGCAGTTTTTGCATGAATGAAAATAGTAAACTAAATATGCTAAACCAAAAAATGCAGATATTTTGAGAAATCTTGCTTTTGTGCTGAATGTAATTTCTCTGTTTTGTATCCAAAGACTGAGGGACACGCAACTCTTTTCTTTCTGATATGGTAGGCTAAAATAGTCAGCAAAATGTAAATGGACCAAATTGCAGAAGCCTGCATTTTAGTACTAGAATGAAAGATATATTAACTTTTGTGTGCTGCGTAATCTACCTTGGAGCAAAAGAAATGAGTGGATATTTTTGAGAGAGGTAATTGTACGTCATGATTTTTTTGTTAATTGTATTGCTTTTTGAAGTAGTTTACTTATTTTAGGGTTAATTTTTATTGTTTACCACTCAAAATGTTCTTTCTGTTATAGTGTGGTTATTAAGTATGGTTCCTGTTTTTTCAACTTATTGGAAATTATTGTATGTGCTCTTTATGGCATATATGTCTTGATTTATTGCTGTGTATGATACGTATTTGTATATACAAACTCAAGATTAAATATTGCAGTGTTATAGTCCTGATTATTAATAAAAAATGTTATTACCTTGTACTAGGTATTCATTTGAATGTTATACCCTGCTGCCTTTCTCTGTTTATTTTTGAATGTGTGTTATCAGAATGTAAATCACTTTCTTCTTAGTAAAATTGTTTTTACTAAAAAATAGGCATAAAGCTTTCTTCTCTCTTCTTCCTTAAGACTTTACTTTTTCACTGCTGTATTCAGGAAAATAAAATTCTTTGTGGAATCCGCTCCTACCTCTACTTGCTAAATCTGGTGTCTTTTGGTTTTCTCTGCATTCAACCTTGCGTTGCAAAAATTACATCAATCATTATTTGCTTTCTTGCATTCTTCAGGGATAGCTTTGCATACTCCTGGGCTTCAGTCAAATGATCACTGCAAAAAGCCTTATGGCTGTTTAATAGTTTGCCAGTTCTGTTGCGGGATACTTTCTCAGCAGGTAGGCTGGCAAAAGTGATGGTGAGAACTCTCTTCGTTTGCTTTAGTACCTTCAGTAGGAGTTGAACTAATCTGATTTTACACTGTAGATAAGGCATGTTCACATGATATGGCTCAGTCCCCTTTCATAAGATGTAGTGAGCCAAGTTACCAGCTCCCTGCTGCCGAAAAGCAGAAGTTTTATTTCTGCCCATAAAGCTGCTTCCTCTGTGCTGTCTGCTGCTTGGCCAACTCCTGTGAGCTGATTAACTCAATACACAGCAGAAAATAAACTTAACAAACTTAAAAAAAAGGGGAGGGGAAGAGGGGCGTGTAGTCTTCTGCAGTTTTAATGAACCAAACTGGCTGGTAGAAAAGCTTGCTGTGGGCCGGAGCTCGTGCAAAATGAGTGGGTTGATCATGCAGCCATGCATGGGAACAAGTCCTGAGCTTTTTCAGTAGCAGTGAGTCACTAGGTAAGCCCTCTGCATAGTTCAGTCTCAGGAGGAGGAGAGAAGGTGGCACTTTCAACTCCTACAAATAAGGAATATGCTGCTTTAATGATGGAAAAGGATGAAGGCAATACAGATGAATCACATGGGGAACATAAATCAATTGCTTTCAATGGATCTTCTGTGTTGCGTAACGAGTTCAGGTCCTAAAAAGCACAGGTGGTTTTATAGAAGTACAATACACAAGTTGTAGAACTCATTACCACAAAATGCATTGGATCAGAATAAGGAATATAAGATCAAATGTTCCTATATATAACAAGTCGACTGTATTTTCTTTCTCTTTTAGCAAAATAACTTATTTAAAGGAAAAACGTTCCTCTAAGACCAAAAATCTTTTGGGCAATGGCTCTAGGTGTTGCTCAGCTGGCAGCTGTCCTGTTTGTCCGGATGGAGAATCCTCAGCTGTTTACTTCTGAAAGGAGAGAATTTGGCTTGCTGAGAATTTTCTTGTGTCTGGAGCAGGCAGATTGTGGTACCTGAAACGATTTAGCTGGAACAACTCTGGCATCTCTACATTTCATTTCCATACAGGCATGTCTTCTCCTGTGGAAGATTCTCAGCTGGAAACTTGCAGGAGTAGCAGTATTTTAGTACTGAACTACACTCTCCTGAACTCATGGATAGAAGACCTGGGGGTTTAAGCTGTCTGCCAGCAGGAGACGTTTAAAAGGCAGGCTTCTGGAAAACAATCCTGCTGGAGGAAACTGCCGCAGAGACAGGACCAAATGTGCAGAGCTGATGTTTGTGAGTCAGCTCTGTGCTTCTTCTCCTGTTGCTTGTTCATTGGGGAAGTGGGATCTCAGTGGAATATTCCCTGAGGTGCTGGCAGGTTTTTCACATTAGATTAATCTGAGAAATTATGTGTAAAGGTTTTGCTGAGCCACAGTAGGGCATGTACTAGTGGAAGGCTGGTCTGAATGTCATTCTCTTCTGCTGCATGAAACAATATTGTACGTAATCCTTTCGGTTATATTAGTAAGCATGTACATGTATGCTGAAAGCCGCTCGTTAACTGAGGAAGCTGGGGAGGATGTATTTTTTGTAGAAGGCCTTGCGGAAGGCTTATCATTTCTCCCTGCAGCACTTGGCTCTGTAGACTGCCAAACACAGATCAGTTTGAGGTGCCTTGCTGGCCAGTCCAAAAATAACAAGGACCCTTTCTTAGTCTGTAAATTCTTCCTACAGGACATAAATCTTAGTAGAGTTTGCCATTAGAAATAGAAAATTACAATGCATTTCTCTAATAGGGCCATTTCTCCTCAATTAGTTTTGCCAGACAAACTTCTGCACCAGAGGAGATTCTCGTGAAACCTGTATTTCAAGAAGCTAATCAAAAGTATCTCATGAGGGAGAGAAATACAACGATGCAGTACAGTCTCCTTAGTAAGGTCCTGTCTTACTTAGCTCCTAAATTATATTAGCTCTTGAACAGATACAGAGAAAACTCTGTGATCATGACCCCTCCAAAAAGAGGCAGAGAGAGAAGAAAGGCTGGAGGAAAGCAAAACAAAATACTGGTAAAGCTGACAGGCTGTTGTTTGCCCAACTTTTATAGTTTTATGTCATAAGAAAAGCAAGCAAAACTCCATTCTGCTCCCTTCCCCCTTGTTGCAGCTGTACCTAGCCTACACCCTGCAGATCAACATTATTTTCCACCATTACCCTAAGCGCTCCAGCAGGGCATAATCCAACCTCTAGCTAATGGGAGTTAGCCCTAGTGCACCCTTGAAGGGGATGATGCCATCCATCCCTGTGCCATAGTTATGGTACTTCTCTGAAATTTCTGGTACTGACAACACTTACCATGTGCTTAGCAGTATCAATGTGGCTGGGAGAAGGCAGTATACACAAATAAAGACTATGTACTGTAATAAACTGATAATCGGAAGGGGTAGCAAAATAACTGGTAGGAAGTCAGGCTAAAATACTGTTAGTGCAGTCATTTATACTGAATTTCCTTCTTTTTTTGGTAAAGAAAAGTCTTCATAAAATTATTTTATGCAAACCAATGTGTAGCCTATTATCAAGCAAATCTTTTACCTCCCAGGTGCATCACAATAATACCGCATGAAAAGCAGATTTGAAGTGCTCAGCCTCCTATTGATACTAATGATTGACCTCTGTTCACTTGCAGACACCCAGTGAAAGCCAGATTTTCCAGACTACACAGCATCCAAAGGTTCCCACCGTGACAAATAAGACTAGGTTTTGAAAAGGCGCCCGTGAATAGACCCACACACCCTGTCATTTATTGTCACAGACAGCCACGTGATGATCAAGCCTCATCTTAAAATGGTTTTCTTCCTTACTCTAGTGAAAGGTTGTTCCAAAGCATCATTGCTGTCAGGATTGAGACCTTCTAATTTCCAGCATAAACATATTCATAAGAAGCTTTCCTTCTCCCCTAGAGCGTAGTCTGTAATACATTTATAGGCCACAGTTGAATTCCCTCTCAGCTCCTATTTCGCTTGGCTAACAAGCAAATATACCCAGACAGGCTCAGCTCTTTTGGAAATGTGCTCTGTGGATCCAAAGCAAATTCTTAATGGTCTTTTTCATTTTTGGGGGAGTTTTGACAGTTGTGAATGTATCTAAGGCTAAAGCTTCTAACATCAAGTAGGAGCTGATGTTTGCATTGTTTAATGCATTGTTTCAAAGGAAATCTAAAAAAGTTAATATCACATCCATAGCACTATAATTGTAAAATACTGAACTATGTACTGTTGGTACTTAAATTTCTTCAAGGCATTGTTTTCATGCCTCAGCTGGCTTTACCGTTCAGATATTCTAACAATCAATTCTTCTGAGGGACCTGCAGCACAGGAGTGGAAACATTGTCAACCTCTGCTAGGTATTTTTGCAGCAACAAGAGGTGCATTATTGTCTGAAGAAACCACACGCAAGTGTATCGATCTCTTTTTAAACTAGAAACTACCACGCCGATCATTTCACTTGATGGGAAGCATGAATTGATTTAGGCAAGTCCAATAGTATCCAATCTAATTTAAAGCTTCCCTATGGGGAGTTCATCCCAATTCATGACAAAGATTTTGAAATCATTTAAACCAGGATATTGCTTATGAAAGGTGACCCTTATTCTAGAAGGACCTTTTATATTGATATAATGCACAGACATGCTTTCAGATTTTAATTACTAGGAGTAATACATTCTTAAGGAAAAAATATCCAATAATCTACAAAACATCTTACTGAACATATATATGCATGCAAACATTCATATGGTCTATGTACTGTGGTTTCCAACCTTCTTCAAGCTGTAAACTCAAAAAAATACATATAGCAAATTGAAATCTACCAACAGCAGTTACCTTTTGGAAGCTCCTAAAAGCACGTCAGGAATTCTTGGGAGTCTGCAGAATACAAGCTGAAAAACGCTCTCTGCAAGGTCTAAATAAGTTTACAGCAATCAGAGCAAATAATCTTTAAAAAATTGTACTCAAATGCAATAAAGATGGCAGCTGCTTTGGGAAGCTTCAGTCACTGGAGGCTCAGAACTGCCTCAACCCAGTTCAGTGCTTTGAAACATTTCTCAGCATCCCTGTTTTCACAGGAGGAGAAAATTTGTTCTCTGTTATTGCCATAGAACTATTGTGTTACTGACATATTGTCTCTGTCTTTTGATATCTCCCTTTAATTCGGTTTTGTGGCAAACTTTTCGATTTTTGTTTCTAGTCCATCTTTTTCTTCCCCAGCACAGAACGTTACCAATTTTCTTATGGACAGTGTTTTCCCTACTTTAACAGTGGCTGAATTCTTCCTCTGTCCTGGGGGACACCTTGCATTTTAGGTTCAGGATGCTTTTGTTTAGTTGTGGTCTCTGGCAAAGCCCCCCCCCAAAAAAAAAAAAAAAAGGCATGGGCTCCACATGGGACCAAGGCCCTGGCAATTGTGAAGAAATTCTTTGAGATTCAAGACATCTGGCAGTCTTGTGACCTTCATACCTGGTACACAAGAAGAGGGACGTTAGGAGGTTGTAACAATGGATAAGGAACATGAAAAAGTAGAATAATAACCAACAAAGTGTCTCAAAAATATGATATGTTCAGTTAGCTGATGGAAGGAAGTAGGGGGACAAGGTGGAGAAAGCCCATATC